CATATAGTAATTCATTCCCCATATAGTAATTCATCCCCCATATAGTAATTCATCCCCCCTATTGTAATTCATTCCCTATGTTAAGTCCCCAAGTCCCCCCTGTGTCAATTCACTTACCTTTGCTCCGCGCGTTCCTCTCGCCGTGTTCCCGCGTCGTTCCGGTGTAGCATGAAAATCTGTCTCCTATGAGGATCTGTCCCCCTCGACGTATCTGCGCATGTGCCAGTTTCAGGCATTAGCAGCCGATCGGCGATCTCCGGCACATGCGCAGATATGTCGAGGGGGACAGATCCTCATAGGAGACAGATTTTCATGCTACACCGGTCTTCAGGGTGGACTGTGAGAGGAGCCTAGCTCCCCACGCTCCGCGGGCCGGATTAAAAGGTCCGCCGGGCCGTAGTTTGCCCATTGCTGGTCTAGATGCTAGTGTCTTCAGGGTTGACTGCAAGTCCCAGAAGTCCCCCTACATGGTAGTAGCTGCAGACTTCCACAAGCAGGGCTAGTAATGCAGGACTGAGCTTCCTCTCTGTGGAAAAGCTGGAGATTACATGCTGTGGCTTGCCTTTGTCTTCTTCCCACGCAGCACACAGACTGGGTAGGGCCCTCCCCTCTTTTATTTACAGCACAGGGAGAGAGGCAGAGCTCATAAAAGAGTGGAAAACTGTATTACCCCTTCCCTCCCAACTAGGGAACCCAGCTGTTTCACTGACTCAGCATTTCAACCTGCTTACATGTAGAAACTACAGTGGTGGTTTTACACACACTGTGTGTATAAATGTGACAAACCGACAGCTTCCCCAAATCACTTACACACACACCACAGAAACTGCAGATCCCCCCCTTCCCCCATGCGCACACCCGCTGTGTTTCCTGGGCTCCGCACAGCCATTGGCGAACCTGAGTGCACCATGGCTGGTCCCACCGTGTAGAGGGGAGAGTGTTCAGAAAATATCCATTTGCTGATCTCCCCTTACTATTACTGACCTGGAAGTGATGTGTAAAGCGTCACTACCAGGTCCTGGTGTCACTGTCTCCAGCCAGTATAATTGGGGAAGAATCTAAAGGTGTGAGATCTGCACTACATTTACATTTATTGGAGCACAGGTGAGACTCTGGGGTCTTTTAGACCCCTGATGTTTCATTAAAGAGAACCTGTCACCAAAAATGGATCACGTAGGTGACTTTGTGTTTCCCTTAGAAGATTTTCTTTCAATTCCTGTCACTTTAGCAGGACAGAATGTGAGGAGACATTTTTTCATCAAAAACAGTACTACTACCGTTAACTACTTTACTGGGACCATATGACGTCCTTCCAGAACGAGCCCCCAGCAGTGCGCACCCGACACAGTCTGTGATTGCTGTGTCCTTTGGACATATCTGATCGCACGACATGGTAAAAGGCCAAGCACAATGGCCTTTTTTCACGTGATCAGCTGTGTCCAACCACAGCTGACCACTATGTAAATAAACTTGCCATTTATCGACAGTACTTTCCTCACGCTGCCACAGCATGAGGAAAGTACTGCCGGTGACTGGCAACTGTCAAAGCAGACATCTGCACCAATAATCAGGGCACTGATTATCAGTGTAGCCCCAAAAGTGCTGGCCATCAGTGCTACCTGTAGTACCCATCAGTACCAACTATCAGTGCCGCATCATCAGTGCCCATCAGTGCAGCCTCATCAACTCATATCAGTCAAGTAAAAAAATTACCTGTTTGCAAAATTTTATAATAGAAACAAAGAAAACTTTGTTTAAAAATGTTCACTTTTTTTGTTTATAGTGCACAAGTAAAATCCCAATAGTAATTACATTTGTGTGAAAAAAAAATTCAGATGGGTACAGTGTTGCACGACCGCGCAATTGTCATTTAAAGTGCAACAGCACTGAAAGCTGAAAATGGACCTGGGCAGGAAGGGGGTAAAAATGCCTGGTAGGCAAATGGTTAAAGAAGCAAAAGGCTAAAATCAAGGTCAACAGTTTACTATTGTCTGCTTTCCTGCTAGGAAAATAGACCAATTTCTTTCCCACAAACAAATACCATAGGGGCAGGAGGTGATGAAAAATATCCCCAACAGGAATAGAGCAGTAAAACCTGTCAGATGTTCTAACCCTTTCCTTTCTGTCTAAAGCTAGAAAAGTCTCTCTTGTTTATGGTATTTATCAATGGAAAGAGCAGAACAGACAGTAGATGAGCAGGCTGATTTAAATTATGATGCAAATGTGTCTTCTTCTGAAGTGTATCTAGTCTTTTTTTGAATGTTAAATTCACCTTTTTACATAATCTGGTCTATGCAGATAAGGGGTATCAGTTTAAAATACAATGTGCCATTTGTAAAAATATTGTTTTAATGCAAATCCTAAATCCATAGCTCCACTCAAGACTCGCTTCTCTTATTACACATGAACAATCCAGGTACTGGCTATTATAGTCCATCTCCACTCTCCATCAAAGGTATGAAAAATTATATCAGCCATACTCCAAACTTAGCACCTCTTGCCATATTTAATAATTGTCAGCAAAGTGACTGCATACAACAGTGTCTCCACCCGAAAATCAACCTTCCTTGACGCTTTTCATCACTCCTGGCTTGCTAGGGGGAATGTGAGCAAACTGGGAGTGGTGAAATGCGTCAAGCAAGGTTGCTTTTCAGGAGACATTGTTGTATGCAGTCACTTTGCTGACAATAATTATGGTAAGAGGAGCGAAGTTTGGACTGCGACTGATATGTTTTTTCATGACTTATGAAGCCTGGCTGAAATACTCCCAATGTATAACCTCTGCACTCAGGTGTGGTGCTCTTGGATGGTCCTGCAGAGATGATGCACAAATGTCTTGCTGCTCTCTCAGGACTGTGGGTATCCTTCGGCAAGCTACAAAACAACAAAGGAGAGGGTGCACAGACCGAATGCATTACCATAACTCAATTCAAAAATCAAATGCATGTCATGCACAATCATATCTAAAGATACAGATGAGACCGCCTTCGAATTCACCATTCTCAGCTGATGACATGGGAAGACCTCAGCGTCCAAGAACAGCTATCGCATTTCAAGGATCAAGTCCTCTTCCTCAGGTGTATGGAAGAGTTATGGTAATGCATTAGGTCTGTGCACCCTCTCCTATGTTGTTTTGAAATACTCCCAATGTTTACATTCCTACAATCCTGTCTTAATTCTAGGACATGGACTACAGCAAAATGGCTGCTGAGCCATCTTCTTTGAGGACAACTAAAGTGGTAATCTGTTTAGTTGTCCTTAAAGAAAGAAAGCTGGGTGTCCATTTTGTTGAAGCCCAGAGTATGAGGTGGAAAGGGGCTACAGTAGTGTGAGCTTCTGTGATGCTGGGGATCAACACCCAATGACTGCTGTGTCCAGGAAATAAGTCAGGACATAGGAATGTAAACATTTGGGAGTATTTCGGCCAGGCCTCAAGAGTGACAGAAAGGCCTGCAGGTATGGTATTAGCATTAAACAATATTTTTACAAATTCCACAGTGAATTTTATACTACTGAGGCCCCTTGTCTACGTGGCCCAGTTTATGTAAACGGTGAACTTAGCCTTTATTATTCCAAAGCTCAGTGCTTACCATCCGAAGTGAAGGACTATTCTTAGAGCGGGTATTCAGTATACTGAATATATACTGATGTGTACTGAGTAGATATTTATTTGCATGTAGTTAGCTTAAACTTTTATTTATTTTCATGTAGTCTAGCATTCTAGATTTCCTGCATCCTACTTCTGGAATTTTTGCTTACCATGCTTGTGTTAAGGAGGAAGTTCCTATAGAAATCTGTTGTGAATTTTTGAAAAATACAGATTTGGCATAAAAAGCAGAAAAGAAAGTTCAACTAAGGAAATTTAGAGTTTATGGAGTGGGGTGAATTAGAAAATCTTGCTTCTCTTTCCTGAAAACCACGTATAGGTAAAATATATAGTTCTGCCCAGAAATGCTGTGAAAAGCCTGTGGAGTCTGACCTTAACATATTATAGGAAAAAATGTTAAAGGATAAGATCATAAGACAGCAGGGTGTAGCGCTCAAAATGATAATGATAGATACTAGTATCTATCATCGTTTTGAGCGCTACACCCTGCTGTCTTATTGTCTATTTTGGAGGTTTTTGGTACCTTCTGTGTTTAGCAGCTTACTGACTTTTAGCACTCACTTACCCCTCTTTATAAAGGATAAGATCACCTTTGGAACATGTAACATGTTTCCATAGCTGCAGCCGCACCTGACGACCCCCCCCCCCCCCCCCCCCCCCCCCCCCCCCCCCCCCCCCCCCCAAAACACATAGTACGGGAAGAAGTTTCCCTGTACTATCTGACAGATTTGAAAGCAGCATGGCCGCGCGGGGCTCCATCCACATGGCCACATCACTTATTCACAGTATTCTGTTAATTAGTGCCTACAACTCCTGACAGCCTTAGCGGCTATGGGCTTGTAGTTTTCTATGAACTACCACGGCGCTGTGAAGTGCCATGGTCGTTCATTGAAGCTTCCTGTCAGTATATCTGCTTGCTCGTACATCCCGTACAGCAAGCAGATATTTTGACAGGTCTGCAGGTAGGGTTGCCACCTCATCCCTTTAACACCGAACACATATTAATGACACAGGTTCTGAGGCCAATTCAATGCAGATAAGGCACCAAGAGAGTTTACTTACCTCCATAATCAGCCGCAGAACCTGTGTAATTAATATATGTTCGGTTCTAAAGGGATGAGGTGGCAATCCTATCTGCAGGAGACCTGCATGGCATCAGCAATCTACTGATTGCTGGTGCAATGCTTTACAGGCTCCTTTGGACAAAAATAATAAATGCACATTTTTTACCTGCAAAGCTGAATCAGCTTTCTGACTTTAGCAGTAAACAGGTATTGCTTGGCATTGGCTCTTTTAACCTTTTGTCTAAATATGCCATTATATGTTCCTACAGAGAACATTTCTTCTTCAGTAAATATAATTTACGGCAAACTCACTTGTAAATATGTTTTTCAGAACCCGCAGATGATGTAAAAAGTGAAGAAAGTGATGATGAACCTACTGCAAAGAAGAGCAAGAAAGTGGCTTCAGATAAGACTCCTAAGAAGAAAAAGAAAGCGGTAATATGCATAAAATAGGTTAAAACTCTTTTGTACTCTACTGACCGTGTCCTTTTTTTTGCTATGTATGAATCACAGCTGCAAACACCTGCTTGTCAAAATTCCAGATGATAGGTGGCTGATGCTGTAAAGGTCAGAAGTGGGTTCCTCTTGTGGTGTGGTTACTTGTTGGCTCATTAGTACCATAGCTAGATATAACAATCAGCCTTCAACCTTCGCCATCTGGTGCTCATTACTCAGTACTGCAGCACAAGTATCTGCAATATTCACCTGTACCTTAATCGAGAATGGTTACATTGAATGCTGGGAATTCAGCTATTTGCCTGATCAACAGTTGTATGTTTGTTTGCTCATACCCTAGATAGAGGTCTCTCTGTCTGTGAATTACCTGTTTATTGCCCAGGGTTATTTCTGCAAATTGCCTGGATTGAACAAATGAACAACATATAAAATAGGGGTGTATAATCCCATATGGAGGGACCTCATTAAGTAATCAAAGAACACCTGGTCATTGTCTCACTAAACTAATTAGTGAGGTACTTCTTAAACAACAAACGTAACTATAATACCTCCTGGGAGGTCAAGAACGGACAGCCCACTAAAGTGGCTTCACTAGAGGACCAACTACAGTGTAACCAGTAGAGAAACTTTGAGACCACAAATCAAAAAGCATTATTCATTAAAAAAGCATAACAAATCATCTGATCACTTTTAAAATCAAGGAATGAGAACGTTATCACCTTGAAACCACTTGAGCGTGGGCTACCATCACATACAAAGATGATGTCATACATGGAGTAAAGTCAAATGGTTAGGGATAGCAGAAATTGGCAAAAGCAGCCCATCCAGAAAGACCTGACTGACCACCAGATACAGAAAATCAGGCTAAACTATAAGGCAGCACAGTGGCTAAATGGTTAGCACTTCAGCCTAGTATTAGGGTAATTGGTTCAAATCCCAACCACGGCATCACCTGCTTGGAGTTTGCATGTTCTCCCTGTGCCTGAGTGGGTTTCCTCCAGGTACTCCACTTTCCTCCCACACTCCAAAAACATGCTGGTAGGTTAATTGACTCCTGTCTAAATTGTCCCTAGTATATGTATATATGAATGAATGTAGGTTAGGGACCATAGATTGTACTCCCCTTGAAGGTTAGGGACTGATGTGAATGTACAATATATATGTAAAAGCACTGCATAAATTGACAGTGCTATATAAGTACCTGAAATAAATAAATAAATGTGTGTCAAAATAGTAACAGGAAAGTACACTGTAATGCAGTGTTGATTTGCCTGGATAAGTGCTTTAATCGTAAGGGCAGCAGCGTATGATCGGCAGTAATGCCTTATTTATGAGGAAATATTCATAACAGATGACTAAGCCGTGTCATTTACAACCTCTAAGGTAGGCTAATGTGCAGACTAATATCTCCATTAACAATAAACCATGGCTTAAATAGATCGATATAACATGGCTATTGATTGCAAGTGCAGATCTAAACTCTGTGATTAGCCACAATGCTGCAGTGAAGTTCATATTAATCAGTCTTGATATCAGGTGGCTTTAGCTGAATAGGTTTGACTGGTGCCTCTATGTATGATAACGGTCGGTCATAAACTCTGACCGTAAGCTGATGATTAAAGCCAGCCTAAGTATCAACATGCCGGGTCAATTAATCCAAATGGATACAGAAATCGAGGGCAGAAGCAGAGAAGTTAGTAGCAGGAAATAAGGAAGCGGCTCAGGCAGTTCATATAGTTAAAGCATAGCCAATCATTAGTGCAATAGCTCAGCAGCAAGCAATCCATCCAGCCCAACAATCCGGCTCTATAGGATAGAATATGGAAGTCTTAGCACTTCCACACAGAGTCTGCCCGGAGGCTCTCACCACTCCAACGCCGAATGTCCTATCTCCTATAGTGGTTATCTCTATCCTCTCTGCTTGTCCTTCTGTCTTCTTTGGTGCCGCCAGCAGATAGCCGCTTGGTCAGCAAACCACTTTGATCATCTTTTTTCTTTTCCTTTTTTTTTTGGCTTTATGAATTTTTTTTTCCAGCAGCAGCAGCAAAAAAATGTTCTCTATAATTGCTGTTCTGCTTTCTGAGTTGCAGGTGTTCTTCCTTCTGCATCACCAGTGTTTTTGGGGGGGTCTTTTGCCTTTCTTAATTTTTTTTACATTTATTTTAAATTGTTTTTCTGCAGCAACAGCATTAAAAAAATGTCCTTATTTGCTGTATCCCCTATTTTCTTTATTTAAATAAAACAATAATAAAACGGTTTATAGTGCACCGAGCACAGAAGTATTGCAGCCAAGCACCAAAATTCCCATCCCACACTCTAAAATAAAAAGTTATAAAAATCTCCATGTCCGAAAGGCCAACAAGGAGAGGCAGACACTCACAGGCAGCTAAGAGAGGGCAAGCAGCCTCTGTGTCCACAGTGAAAAGTGGTGGTCGTGGACATGGTGTATCCTCTGCAGGCAGGGCACGCTTGTCCTTTTTGTCCCGTGCTGGCCGTGTTATTGAGCCACAACATGAAGAAAAAGTGGTGTAGTGGATAACTAAGCCATTTTCATCCTCCAAATCCTCTGTTACCAAGGCTCAACTAGTTTGCCTTCTATTTCAGCTGCCAAAGGAGCCTATTCCGCAGGCTCGTTGTCTACAGCTACTTCTTCTGTAGCCCTCCATCATGCGCGGAGGAGTCACCTGAACTAAGTGGTCATAGTGTCAGTTACATGCTGCTGGAGGATGCGCAGCAATTTGAATGCCCTGATGTTGGTTCCCAGGTTGAGGAAAGGAATAACGTGAGCCTAGAGAGAGGGAATGCCAGTGTTGGACAAGAAATTGGCAGCCCCAGCCGCATCATACTGCCACGTTGGCTCCAGTGATAAGGAGGGAGGGGATGATGAGGTCACTGACTATACTTGGGTGCCTGAGAGAACAGAGGAGGAAAGTGGGGAGGAGGCACAACTCCAATGAGGCAGGATGTCCTCCAGAGGCAGTTGTAAGGGCAGCCACCCTATTGCATCACATAACATAGGTGCAGGACACTGTTGACTCCCCGTTGAATTAAAATATTTCATGAGTGTGGGCTTTTTTTCAACACTTGTGCAGTAGACCGCAGCATTGCTGTTTGCAGTCTCTGTCTGAAGCAGATCAAGCATGGCCAAAACACTAGATGCTTGGGCGCCACATGCTTGACAAGACATATGACGACCTGCCATGCAGCCCATTGGTAACAGCACCTAAAAGACCCAAATCGTAAAAAAGTGCAGACTTCTCCTTGTACCTCATCTGGGATCTCTACCCCTACTATACCTCTAGCCCTCTCAACAGCCTCCACTGAGTGGGATGATGGTATAGCAATGGGTGCCACAGGTCCTTGCACCCAATCTGCTAGCAGTACACCACCGGTTGATTTCACCAGGCAAATTTAGCTACCTGCCCCATTCTGTGAATTTGTAGAATGTGCTGTACCACAATGGTTCTGTACCATCATATGGAAGGCAATGTTTTGGCCTCGTACAGGGAGGTCAGCAGCAAGGTCCACATTACTGCTGACACAAGGTCCAGCAGGCATGGTCAGGCATGCTACATTTCCTTCACGAGTTTCCTTTCTGCTGGCAGCTGGGAAGGATGCAGGACAGAGTTCAATGCTGAAGCTTTTTCAGCCACCACGCCTCCAAAAAGCTGGTGATGATTCAGCCATACCTGTCTGCTCCACCCCCCTCTTCTTCCTCTATGGCCTCTTCTGCTGAATTATCCTCTGAACCAGCAGTGTTCTCTAAGCGTTCAAGGGGCTACGCAAGCAATCAGGCTAAAAGATGCCATGCGGTGCTTGAGCTGGTTTGTCTAGGGGACAGGAGCCACACCGGAGCAAAGATTCTGTCAGGAATGGTTGTATGCGACAGTGGCGCCAACCTTCTCTCTGCCCCAGGCTTACAAGATCTTCTGAGGCAGGCCAGAAAAGTCTGTGGCCATTTGCGGCGATCATACACGGCCAGTATTCGACTGGCTGACATTCAGCGTGAATTCATCATGCCCAACAACCACCTCATTTGTGAAATGCCCACCAGGTGGAACTCAACATTGGCAATGCTGTAGCGGCTGCACATGCAGCAGTGGGCCATAAATGAGTACCTGTGCGAGTATGCACAAGGACAGGCTCAGTGGAGCTTCACCTCTTTTTGCCATGGTGGCTGCTGATAAAGGATGTGTGCACTGTCCTGCGACCATTTGAGGAGGCCACAAGGATGGTGAGCTGTGACAACGTATGCATCAGTATCCCTCTAGTCTTCCTGCTGGAGTACACACTGTGCAGAATCATGGAGAGGGCACTTGAGGCAGAACAGTGGGAGGAAGCGGAGGATTTTCTTTCCTTTCTAGGCCCCCTTTATGCAAATACCATTCATGCAGTGCCACAGAACAGACAGGAGGAGGATTGTGGCAGCATGGAAGTAGAGGATAACATATGGTAGTCTTCAAGGGATGGTTTTCAGTCCCCAGAAACCCAGCCAGGAGTAGTACATGGCTGGGAGGAAGTAGTTCCTGACAGTGTCATCCTCAGTGACCCAGAGGACTCAGAATCTTATTCTGCAAAGCCTGCGAAAGGACCCAAGGATTCGTGGAAAAAAAGGAGGGATCATTACTGGTTGGCAACCGTTCTTGCTCAATGTTACTAGGGTAAAGTTGCAGAGCTCATCCTGCCTTCGCAGAGAAAGCAGAGGATGAAACATCTTGAGGATGACTTGAAGAACAAAATTGTGTAACACCTTTCCAGACACTGGGAGGTTACCATTTCCTGGACAACATGTTTCTGAGGCTTCTTTCAGTCAAAGGAAGAGCGGTGGAGAAGGTGGCCAGCTGAACGATGCCTGTAAACAATTCTTTAGTCCTCAGCGCTCAGGGCTGTTAGGTTTAAGCACCCATCAGCAGCGTCTGCATCATATGATGCAAGATTATCTAAGGGCAAGAGCAGACTTGGATACCTTTACAACTGAG